GGGCTAGATAAATGGTTAGATCACTGTACCAGAATCCTCATGCTGCCATCGTGTAAGCTGTCGAAGAGGATAGACGAATTAATAAGGAGAAAGGCATCAGGACCATTTATAAAGAGAAAATAACCTTTCCTCAATATTGCCTTCTTTTCAAGCATACTCTGACCCACTCTCCAGATCGGTCTGTAACACGATTTTGTGTTCATGTGGTAGTGCCTATGTGGGTGAGACCTATAGACCCATACCTAAGAGGTTATCCAAAAACAAAACAGCCTGCAAGGGTATGTGGATCCAAAATTCGGGATCGGCCGAACACATGGCTCGCACAGGACACCAGATATATTTGTATAATGCCAAACGCTTAGCTGGATATGGAGTCTATACCAATAAGTAAGCAAAAGATTAAGGAGGCGAAAGATATCAACAAGACAGCCAACACCATAAATAGGGGGAGGACTGTAGGAAGTTAAGTAGAGACTGCTTGTGGATGTTGGATGGGTTTAGAGAGAGGGGAGGAACGAGAAGTACCACCGAGCAAGAGGAGGAGGCTTGATTGGGCTGGAATTTGGTTTTGACTCTTACAGCATACTCCTTTCAAGAGCATTGTTCTCACACAAAACGTGTGCAATGGGACGCACTCACATGCGGTAACATTGCAGGATCAAAGGCATGAGTGCCTTGGGGGAGAATGCAGATATTCGGTTTCAATTGCACCTATTTCACGCCTCATCTGCAGCCACTTCACATGTCATCTGCAGTCAATTAACTTAGTCTATGAGCAAATATATAGGCAAAGCATAGGGCATCCACCCAAAACATGAGATGCATAAATCGACTAAATTGAAATATAAGAAGGAAGTAGGTTTGAAGCCGGCCACCTTTCTTGCCTTCATGTTTTTGGTGAATTATCGTTGAACAGGGTGTCCTGCTTTGACGATGTCCGTCACATGACGGACGAAAGCTCAGCAAGCATTCATCGGGGTCGCAGGGCAGTTCGCCGAGGACCTATTCACACAAATCTACAACCACGGCTCCAAGGCAACCCCTCACAGCCTTCGGTTGGAATTAACTTACAAATCCTTTACACTCGCCTCTTCAAACAAAATGAAAGTTCCTCCAGCAGGAAACAGACGACAGCTGGTTGTAAGGTATTCACCAGTGTCTCATAATGAGATAGCTCATTGAATCAATTAATCATATATTTTTAGTTGAAACGAAATTGAAATTATCAACAAAATGTCTGAGTATAAATACTTTCATTACTGCCTAAGCTATAAAAAATCTTTTACTTTAGTATAGATCACCGTTAACTTTATTATTAATATGTAGGTCATTGATTCAAATGCAAATGGAAAAAAGATTTGGCAGTTTCCCTTTCTCTTTTCATCCAAGTTCGCATATAAGACTTATTCTTTTGTTTTATTCTCTTAAATTTTCTTTTATGCACTTCTCAGTGTGTGCTTGTCGTGCTGGGAACAATTATTATCTTTGTCGAGCAGAAGAAGAAACGCCTTTATAATTTTTCCAGACTCAAATGGACGCCTGATGCCAATCAGGAAATTGAAAGTGATACCGATTCTGGCGAGGAGGAGGAGGAGGTGCTGGAGTAACAAAGTCTATGCTTCTATTTTAACTAAAATAGGCTTTATCTTGATTTACTCTCGATTACTTGTGCATACAGTCATGTGGACGATGATCTAGGGCCATAAGTATAGCAATGTCTGCTGGACCCGTCAAGTAGACTCAAGTGATTTTTAATGTAATAAGCCTCTTTTAGTCTAAGTTATGACTTTTTGTCAGAACGCTAATAGCAAATTTTGTAACTCAGAGGGTGAAACAACACTAAAGCCTACTAAATTTACTTAAGATATTTCAATTGTTTTATCATACTTCGTGTTGAGTTAGTTTCTAAACTTCATGCTCTATTAAGATATTTATCCAGAGTTATCTCAATCTGTTGGCACAACTTTACATATTTATCTTATTCCTACATGTCTGTCTTCATGTTATATATACATACAGCAACGAATATTCATTATACCATCTGAAGTGAATCAATATTTTTCTTATATCATTTGGATTTTTATAATTTATTACCCTTACACAATTAAAGGTGTTATGGTAACATGCCATTTAATTCTGTAAATTTTGCAATTTTTTATATTTCCTGTGAATGCCAATATATATTATGCGGAGTATTAAGCAATTTTCTTTATTAACTATTTCACAATTTTGAAATTAAGGAAAGTATTATACCAAAATATTTGTTATCGGACAATGCACCCTTATACATAGCCCTTAATGCCTTTTTATTATATATTCCTTCCCTTTTTATTTCAATTCTCTGCTATTTTATTTATAATTTTCTTTTTTGGATAGTGATATTTTGAATCAAGCATATTTTAAAGGACACACCATAGAGAACTTAAAGCTGGTAAGATATCTATACGAATTGACATGTCCATAATATTGATCCAGTTGATAAAAGCATAGTTAGAGTAATGCTTTACCAAATTGTTTCATGCTCTCGTCTGAGTTTTTATATCTGCTTAGTATAATGCACCGATTCTCTTTTTTTCATAGGGTATCTACTTCATTATGACATGACTTTCATTCCGAAAGAAAAGTGGGTGGGAAGGGATTTCTGAATTAGTCTGACCGTAAAACAATGGAGGCTTGCTTCAGAAGGGAAAACTTTTGGATTGTGCGAAGAAGTCCTGCGTACGCGATAACCTGTGCTAGGTTTTCGTCTCTCATGTGACGGATATTGTCAAATCAATAAACCATCCTCTAAAGAAAAACTATGCAAATACATTAAGTCAAGTAACACTAGTTCCTTTGAAATGAAAAGTCATGTTACAAGGAATGCTTTTAAACTCAATTTTCCTCAATATAATAAGGTCTTAAGCTCAGCTTAGCTTCATTATAAGTTGTTTAACCTCGTTTTCGATGATTGAGAAAAGACGTTACTCTTCGGTTCTAATTACTTTGATTTACCACTAAAGGGTTTCGTACATATGCCAAAACAAAGGAACACAAGCGCAAATTAGCATATATAATTATACTCCGAGGTTGATACATAATTTTGACTAACCAAATCATTTGATATCTCATCTAAGAGCTTAGATATTGGGTAAATATACAGCAGTTAGGGATAAGCCATTAAGTTTTCTTGGCTCGTTAGCTTGGATATGGTTCCAATGATGATACCCTGCCCTGATGGTATCCGTCAAACGATGGACAAAAGCTTCGCACATTTTCACCGCAATCAAAGATTCCTCGAAAATAGTGTCAACAGGACTGTTCCAGTAAAGCCACCCAACAGCTGGTCAAGAGGAATCCGCCCTTGTATTCTGGTAGGATCGACCCTAGAATCTCTTTACTAAACACTTTTACTCAAAATGGAAGTAAGCTCAGCAATTATGAAATAAGGAACTCCTCAAAAGCCAATTTTTCTTTAAATCTTATTTTGAATTTAACACGAAATTTCCTTTTTTAAGGAGAACAGACGTATCATGAAACTTTTGCACCTAAATATTTATTTTAGGGTTATGTGGTCGGATTAATATAACCTTTATTGATGACATAAATCTAGAATTTTTGGGCCTGCTAATTTCTCTGGACATCCACGCTTTTTAAGTATGGTGATGTCTTTATGACCTATGTTTTTATCGCATCTATGAATTAACTAATCTTTCCGTCAATCATGCACTTTCTTCCTTTTTCTCAAGAGAGTATCTCAAAGACTCTAATTTGGCTATTAGCACTTTTGTATCTGTTTTAAGGCGTGTGATTAGTCATGTCATTCTTAGCATATTAGATAAGTATTCTGGTCGTTTTCGATAGTCATACAAGATCTACAGCTCTTTCCGTGTTAGTAAGTGCAATTCTATCTCGACTATTCACTTTTCTTAGGACCTCTGTCATTCAAAACTAGTCATGGTGAAGCGCTATTTTTATATAGCGATATGCGTTTATTATTCTTGATGAGGATAAACAATCATCCGAGGTCTTAAGAGTAGCTTTTATATCTTACTATTCCCTAACAAAACCATTTTAGCATTATGTGTATGTTATCTAAGTAGCCTATGAAAAGTTTAAGTTATCCACCCTTTTTGATCATTAAATGATGGTAGACAGTTTCATAAATCAAGCGAAAACGTTATCTCTTAGTGTGGTCCATTCGAAAAAACAACTCCAACCTTGGAGGCCTTGTGGTCAAATGAAAGGGAGATGGATAATCACAACCGTCACGGAAATTCGGCATTATGGCCAAATTGACTGAAAATCCACTCCAGATGCAGAATGCGACCTGAGATAGACGTTCATAGTTTACTCAGGGTTTTCGGGTTTAATCAAGGAGGCGTGGTACATGCAGGAAAGGGGTGACCATGACACTCAGAGGCTTGCGCCTCGAATTAGTCATTCAGACGCAGATGAGGGCGAATAACGCTTTGAGTAGGACAGATGTGGTGGCAGGAGTCGATTGAAATAGGTTAAAAAGGGGTAGAGCAGACGGATTTTATG